ATCAGTGAACTATAAAACAGAACATAAACAAGAGTGAAAATGATAATTATGGCATCATGTCTAGAGGACACAGGTAAATTGTAGAAACAACTGGTTCAGGTCTCCATAAACTTACTCTTTTAACTTTAATGGCTTTCCATCAATCCACAGCCTTGTCATCAAAGGGAGTTCCATGTGGCCAGAATAACCAGATGTTTAGGTTTGCTTTAGGCAGCACTAGTTTATACTTGTCCAGTATAATCATTGATGATACTCTCTTTCATTGTGAAACGTGTTCCTGTTTAGACGCATCAGTTACATGGCTACTCTGCCTGTAACCAGTTTATAGGGAGGAGGAGTGTGTGGATTTCTGTGTGGTATTTTGGTGTCAACTGGAAGCAGATGGTGAACTACAATCCCACTCTTGTAAATGGTATGTCTGGTTGTCTATTTTGTGTGGAAAGAGATATGATCTGAGATTCAGAATTATACCAACTCAAGAAATTTGAGATTGGTCACCTGCTCAGGAATTTGAAAAGAATAAAGTTGGAAGAGTGGTAATGAGATGACTATAGAAGAAAAGCTTTTAGGAAAACCTATCAAGATGTGACAAGTGTGAAGATATTTGATTTTCAAAATGGAGGAAATTCTCAATAAGATGGCCTCACCTTCTGGTGACAGTTAGCCTCTTTCCTTGGCCAACTTCTTGTTTGTGCAATCTGCCAGTATCGGAAATTATTACGTGACTGGGATAAAGGGCAGTTAAGGGATTAGCAGCATATTTACCAAAACTGATTTAGATATTAACACTATTAAGTATCCAGCCTACTAATAGCAGGGACCAACTTTGAACCTGTGACCTGACAACATTAACCAGCATGTGTGGTCTCCCAAATGCATGCCTCGAATTAAAAAAAAGGGCAGTATGTACAGTGTGAATGAAAAAGCACAAATTCATCAGACAATGGGAACAAAACCATCCTTCCAACTGTTACTGCTGCTGTCTTGCTGAGTTCTTTTATGAAACTGTCATTTGGAAAAGAGGAAAATGTGGATTCATCTGTGTACTTTAGCTCATTTAGTTTTCATGTTAACCTTGTGAGGTAAGTGGTGGCAACATCATAGTAATCAAACACAGAGATTACATTACGCATCTGTAGTCTCACAAATTTTGAGGAATGATACCAAGGATAGAATTCAGATACGTCTACATGTCTGTTTTCATGCTGCTTTTGGATAGAATGTCTGGAATGCTAGGTAGATCTCAAAGAGTATCTGCTAGCTACCATGGAAGTCATCCTCCAGCCCTGTACCTTTGCCAGTGACTAAGGAGGCAAACTGAGTTTAGAGAGGGAAGCAGTAAGTGGCAGCAGCATGCTCCTTAAGGCTCTTGAAGTTTGCTAGGTTGGGAAACATATCAAGGCTCTTGTTTCTTTGTCAGCATCCCTAAGCATTTGTCATGGGATGGAGGAGAGTCTAGTTCCATGGAGTCAAAGACCTGGGCTGGGAAACTTTGTGAAGTGGAAAGAGTGGAGCCGGAAGCTAATTATCAGGGATGATCAAATCTGAGTTTGCAACCTCTTAATTTAGGCAGATTGCTTTGATGAACTCCCACCTAGCCTTGGTAGCCAACAAAGGTCATTTTGTACATCCAACTTTCCCATGATATGTTTCTCCCCCATGACTCTTGTGTTTCTTCTTCTTGGAAGCCTCATTCTGCAGATCTTTATGCTACCATTTCGAGAAATCATGTCTGGTCCCTCATTCCTCTAATGCCACTTATGTTGGACTAGAAGCCTCCTCTTTCTTTTCTTTAAGAAATTTAAGAACTGAGTGTGGGGATGCATACCTTTGACCTGGCCCTGAAGGCAGTCAGATTTCTGTGAGACTGAGGTCAGCCTGTTCTACAGAGTGAGTTCTAGGTCAGCTGGGGCTCAGGGAGACTTTGTCTCACAAAGAAAGACTAGCATTTATTTTATTTATTTATTTATTTAATTTATTATTCATTTATTTATTTGCGTGCCTGTAGCCCCAGCTGCCCTAGAATTTACTATGTAGTCCAGGTGTGTGTGTATACCTGCTCATGCCATGGAGCATGTCATGGCAGTCAGAGGACAACTTGGCAGGTTTTGGTTCTCTCCTACCATATGGTGTCTCAGGGATTGAATTCACGTCATCAGGCTTGGCAACAAGTATCTTTACTTGCAGAGCCACATTGCTGCCCCCCAGAAGCATCTTTTTATGGTTCTAGGGCTTGGACTTTGTATGACTCTTTTCCACTGTGTTGTAGGGCTGAGTGTACATTTTTTGCAGTATTGTGAGATTATGTACAGTAATTAAGCTTGCCTTTGAGTGGCTGTTTTGTTATTACTGTGATTATCTACTTCCCCATCATACCCATTCTAAATTTTTGAAGGAAAGGACCATAAACTTGATGCCTTGCACAGTGCCTAGGACTTATGTAGATATTTAAAGAACTTTGGATAACAAAATGAATGAACTAAATATACTGAGTTAATGGAGCGTGAACAAGGGATGAGTATGCTTTTCTTAACTATTTAAGTACATATAAATAATAAGCATACAATTCCTGACATTGTCAGTGAGAAAAATTCTTTATTTAAAATAGTCTAATTGCGTTTTCTTTTTCTAGATTAAATAAAATACTCTACAAATGAGAATTTAAAATCCAATATATGAAACCAAGTAATAGCAGTCAAGGATTCTCCACCAATCCCCATTTAATAAAGTTTAAATGAAATATTTTAGAATTCTGAAATTATGTGCTTTGCCTAGAGAAAGAAGCAGGGTCACATTTCCTGAATATAATAGTGTCATGCAGAATAGATATTCTATAATGCCTAAGACAGCTAAGAAGCTAGACCACCCAGTGCTGAGACTCTTAAACTTGGTCTGATGTTATTAACAGTATTTCTAAATCACAGAGACAATTGATACATTTTATTTCAATAAGAATGAAAGCAAGAAGGGGACCTACACTATTTCTAGCCACTTGTATTTATTAATACATGCTTAGTGCTTTTAATGCCTTTGCTGCAGAAGGGTAAAACGTGTTAGCAAAAAGGTAAACTCTGGGGACAAAGCTGGGAAGGTTGTGCACACAGAAAGTAGCTGATAGCTCAAGGTTATTAGGGCTCCTGGAAACGCCATGCATTGTGCACCATCTGGGGCTGGTGCACTTTGTTTCCAGGCATCAGTGTTTGCTGAGTGTCTGGGGACATTGTGGTATCTATGGTTGCTTCTCCATCACCCAGTGGTGTGGTAACATCAGCACCATAGGTCTCATAAACTTCTGCTAATTCAGGGGTCATCAGTGGATCAGCAGCTGCAGGGGTGACCCCAAGGGGTCTCTGCCTCTGCCCTTCAGGGCCCCTTGCCAGTTTGGGAATGTTGTCATTGGGGAAAGCACGGAGTCCTGCATGGGCACCAGGTGCTATTTGTGAAAGGAGAGCTGGGTTTTCTGGGTCGGCTGGGTTGGCCTCTTGCAGTGGAGAGCCTTGTGGACCTTCTCCCTTCTCAGGGCCTTTGGTTACAGACACTGGGGAGTCAAATTCCAGAGTAAAGTCTCCACCCTTGGCTGTGTTGGGGTTCATTCCCCTAAGGGTGTGCCTCAGGCCTCCAAATCCTGGGAACATAGATCCATAAGTCATGGGACTTCCTCTTCCTCCCTGGAAAACAAACATTCACCAATGACACCATCATTACATGTTGTTAACGATGCCATGTAATTATATTTAGTCTTGTTCACAGATAAGCTATAAACACTAAGAAAATGGAGCTGACTGACAGCTTTGTAAAAGTACATTTTGAATTACAGTGGAGAGGATTCTGCATGTAAGGAAAGGTAGATAAGGACTCTTTGCTATCCAAATTTTAAGAAAACAGTAAACAGTTGAAAAGGGTGTTACCATCATAAAATAAACAAAATGTGAAATCCATGACTGTATTAGTTGAGGACTGTTCTGGAGGATCTTGTTGATGGCACTTTTCAGTATCCCCCAAATACAGCCCCTTGTAAGAATTTAACTCTCTCCCTTTACTCCTCCTCTGCTCCCCTCTCCCCTCTTCCTCCTCCCTTCTCTCTTTCTTCCTTCCTCCCTCTCCCCTTCCTCTCTCACTCCTTTCTCCTCTTTTCTCCCTCCTCCTCCCTCTCCTCTCTTTTCTTTCCCCTTCCTCTCCCCCTCCCTTCCCCTTTCTTCTTCCTGTTCCTTAAAAATGTTTTTTGAACAAAGTATAAGAAAAAGCTTGATTTCTCTGGAAGAACTAAAATACTTTCTCCCCGTGGACATGTAGAACTCCAAAACTTACCTTGTTTCTTTTGCTACCATGGCTATGGGAACCAAAATCTAGGACTATTTGCACTTGAGCAAGGCTGTGTGATTTCCTCACTGTTTTGACTCACTTTGTCGGCCTTTAATTTTTTTCGTTATACTTTTTCATAAGCAACCACAAAGTCTTTTGAAAATAGGCAAAATATAGATGAATTAATAATATAGTACTTAGCATTTAACTTGAATATTTAATTTTTAGTCAGTTGTGTTATATAAAAATCAAACCCTCTCCTTCCACCTTTTCTTGGATGTTAGCACTAAGTCTCAGCATTCATATTATCTCATCCAGGGATGATGCTGTGAATCCCTGGGCTGGGCTATCTTTTCTTCCTCGTATCCCCTAACAACATGGTCACTGCCCTTTTCCCTTGAGTCTGACATTATTTGCACTGTACCTATCTTATGCATGCATGAGACTATTAAGAGCCATTGTATCTTCCCGTGTGTCTGGCACACAGAGGTTGAGATGGGAGTCTTTATTTAATGACAGCATGTGGGTATATTTGTTAATTAGATAGGCTATGTTGTTGATAATGAATTGTTAATTATTATTTAGGTTTTGTTTTGTGGTCTAACAGATGTAACTGGTAGAAATTTCTGAGGAAAAAGGTCAAGTTATATGAGTTTATTGATGTCAAACCTGAAAATTTCAATGTACAATGATAACAAAGCAATGTGGTCTCACTACTTTATATATTTTCTTTGGCTTAATATACTTTATAGTTGATGGTATTAAAAATTTAAATTCATTTTTTTGTTCTTTTTAAGTTTGAGGTCTAAATTACTTTGTGTTGCTGTTGAGTTGGTTTTGCTGGGGAAGCTACGTGGTCCTAGAAGGAATGGGAATTCTGTATGAACCACACATACTGTATTTTGCTCTGAAGTTTCTGTAGTTCAATAGTGCTGACCTCTCTTTCAAGGGAAGTGACTCTTAATGCTCACATACAAGGAATGGGGCAAAACCTTAGGCTCAAAACTGGCCATCACTCTGGAGCAAATAAGTAGAAAATACGATGAAAAAAATTTTTTTGAGACAGTCTCATGTAGTCAAGGCTGGCCTTGAACTCCTGATCCTCCTGCCTCTACCTCCAAAGTACTGGAATTATAGGCATGTATTACCACTCTAGCTCTGAAATGTTTTAAAGCTTTTGGTTTTGGAGTGCAAAAATCTTGTATTCCCTTATGTGCTCTTCTGGCTGTTGACTCTCTCTCTCTTTTTTTTTTTTTGAGACAGGGTCTCCCTGTAGCTCCAGCTGGCCTGGAACTCACTCTGTAGACGGGGCTGATCTTGATCTCACAAAGATCCATCTACCTCAGCCTCCCGAGTGCTGGGATTAAAGGCGTGCACCACCACGCCAGGCTAACCATTGCTTCTTGTACTCAGTCTTCTGCAACTGGTCTCCCTGGCAGCGGCAGCTGTTTTAAGAGGGGTTAGAAGATAGTACTCACAGGCATTTCTTCTGAGCTCATGAAGCCAAGCCTGGCAGGGACATTCTGTTAAAAAAGAAACAGCACATCATATTGTGAACCAGCTGCCTTCTATAACTTTCATTTTCTTTTCTTTTCCTGTATTTTTTTTTTTTTTTTGGTCTTTTTTAGACTGGGTCTCCCTGTAGCCCCAGCTGGCCTGGAACTCACTATGTAGACCAGGCTGGCCTTGAACTCACAGACATCCACTGGCCTCTGCCTCCCGAGTACTGGGATTAAAGGCGTGTGCCACCACGCCCAGCTTCTATTACTTTCTTATCTATTCAAGACAATGACAAAAGTTGCTCAGTATTCCCTTAAGATTTAATAATAGTGCTATGTTCAGAAGTAGACAGCCAAGTTATTATTGAGTAAATATAGTCAATTTGTCAGATCTAAAATTTACTTTCTCTTTAATGAAATTGTGTGCATGTGGGACTTAAAGGTATCCAAACAGGGAAGTGTGTCATGTTACTATTTCTTTTTTTGGGGGGTGGTGTGGGGTTTGAGACAGGGTCTTCCAGCTGACCTGGAACTCACTATGTAGACCAGGCTGGCCTTGAACTCACAGAGATCTGCCTGCCTCTGCATGTACCACCATACCCGGCTTGTCACCTTACTATTTCACTTGTGAATGTAGGTATTTAGGGAAAATTTATTTGGAATCTCTTGAGTAAGGACTATATTCTACAATTTAGCCCTTAAGTTTATATAGAATTTAAAATAATGCTTTTTATAGAATATGAACTTACCAGTTGGTTTGTTCCATAAGACATGTAAAACATTCCTGGATAAAACTAAACAGAACAAAATATTTATAACAAAGTGAATTTTCCAAGGAAAAACCTTATAAGTAAATTTCTGAGAAGTGGAAGTACAAAGCAAAAACTTACTGCTGATGGTTTATTTTGTGCCACTGGTCCCCGAGATATCAAACGGGCTATTTGGAATACCTTTAAGTGGTAGAAAACAGAATAAATAATTCACACAGACAAATTTCTATTACAGTAATTTCTAAGAGTTATAGGAACATGTTTCAGATGAATTAGTATGAAAAATTAACACTTAATAGTTAAGAGAAAGAAACATAAATATTTCATAAGTAAATGAGAAAATAAAAAAACTCATTTTAACCTTTTTGAAATAATGAGATACTTTTCCAGCAATAAAGTATCTCATTGAGCTCTGTACTTACTGTTGGAAATTGTGGACCAGCGAAATCCATTAGTGGGAGCTGTATCATAGAAAATATGACAGTTACCAGTAAAAAGAGACAAACTGAGTGCACACTTGTTTCTAATTACAATAAAGCAGTTTAAAATATATTTGTTTTACTTTCTTTCACTCTTGGGATAACCCACGAGTTTATAGTTGTCTTTTACTGACAAGACCCAAATGTACCAGCAGGAAGATGAGGCATAGCCACTGTGGGTTTGCTGTGGATTGCAGAGTAAATGGCAATGAATGTTGGAATTGGTGCATGCTTGCGTGGTTTGGATTCTGGGCCTGCCACCTAGTTAATATAATCCTGGGAAAAATTTGTAACCTCTCAAAGTCTGTCTTACCTTTAAAAAAGTTTATGGCAGTTATCTTTATAGGTTCATAGTCAGGATGATATGGGGGAATATTAAATACCTGCAACATACTATTAATAGTTTTATTGTACCTTTTCTTTTTCTGTCCATTGTTTTTTTAAAAAGTATTTTATTATTTTTATTTTATATCTGTGAGTGTATTGCCTGCATGTATGTAAGTGCGCCTTTGTCACATGATGCTTGAGGAGGTTAGAAGAGGGCATTGGCTCCACTGGAACTGAAGTTACAGATGGGTATTAGCCACTTTCTGGGTGCTGAGAATCAACCTGGGTCCTCTGTAAGAGCAGCTAGTGCTCTTAGTTGCTGAGTCATCTCTAGCCCTTATTTTTTCTTTAATCATTATGAGGAACTTTTGCATGGCTATATTTTATCTGCAGAGAGATAGTCATACAAAATCCTGCTTGTTATATGGAGGGAGCAATCACTCTACCAAGTATTACCAACATAGAAAAAAACCAAGGTAGTGAGACTGCACTTCTCTGAGCTATCCTATTTCCAATGGAAGCTTCATCAAGTCAAGTTTAGAGACATAGATCTTTTACAGTTGGTGCCTTGTCTCTGATGGCAAAGGATAGAAACGAATATTAATGTCCTATGAACATGTAAGGTCTCAAAAGATGGATTAGTAATATAGTTGTCTTCTGGTAATATTAGGCCCAAGGGCTGTGATTATTTAAATACGGCCTGAGGATCGTTTTTTTTTCTTTCATTAGATTAGTAGGTGATCCTGATATGACTTCAAAGAATTACCTCAGGTGTTGGTGGCTTCTCTGATGGTGCCGCCTGCAGCTGCTCGTCTGGTGCTGTCAGTTCTCCCTCCTGCAAGGGCAGCTGTCCAGGGTGCATTGGAGGCTGAGGCCCTCCCTTCTGGGGTGTGACCTGGATGCCGGTAGCAGCAGTGGGTTGGAGGAACTGTTTCAGTCCTGGCTGGTGAGGCTGCAGGGATGGCTGTGATGGGAGAGGTGGGGGATGCACAGGCAAAGAATATTCATACTGTAGAGAAATTTGAAAAGAATGTCAGAAAGAGATGGTTCACTGAACTGTGGTGCCTAGAATTTCTACAGCAAAGGGCTTGGATGTTTTCTACTTGGAAGAGAGTCCTCTGGAAGCAGAGTTTACACAGGAGGCAGAGTCACTGAACTTGATAAATTTTGTCTGTACTTACCCTCCACCTTCTCTGGGATCATTATTTCTTGGGGAAGGGGAAATCAACATACCTGAACTTTGTGGTAGAATGAATCACTTCTTCCTTTTGCTAACTGTTACTACCTGTATGCAAATTTATTTTACCACTTTCTTACTGGATTTTAAGAATTTGTCATAAATCTTTTTCTTGCAATCAACTGACAGAGAATAACATCTTATCATTACAGCCATTGTATTTAACATATTAACATAGCTACTAACAAGGGCCTAGCATACGGTGAATACTTACTATATTCTGTGATTTAGTGAAAGGATAAAGGGTAATTAAAATACTAATTAAATTTCTTCATCATGAATCTATTTTGCAGACAAGGGAGGGAACAACCACTAATAACTTAATTTGTCTGCTAAGTGTGGCCTTGTAGGTAATACTCCTGTTATGGAAATCCATCTAGAATTAAAAGCTCTTATTAAAACTACCATGTGGTTTTGTCATTGTTGTTGCTTTTAGAAATTACTTGTGATTGACTCCGTATTATTTGTAACTTAATTGCAAGCTCCTTAAACTGGGGTGAAGTCTCCTAATAATTTGGCTCTGCTTTGCCTCTTCTGCCATTGCCCATGTTCCTATGGTGTTCATTACTTATACCTCACAATTGAACACCTCGAAATAAGTGGCTTTATTTCCCATCAGATCTGAAATTTCATGAGCCTTAGAGCCATTCTAAAATATCCTTATTTTTATTCTGAAACTACAGTTTGGATAGTACGCTTATCAGGAACCTAATAGTTGACAGATTGGCATATCTATTGACTTCTATTTGGTTCATGGTGCTTCAAGTGGGATGCTTATTATCATTTGACATTAGTCTACGAGTAGTTATTTAGGAAACTTAGATGAAAATAAAAGTTATCTGGTATATAACCTGTTTTCATTTTTGAGGATTGTTTCTCTATTGCTATTATTAATATTTTAATTGTAGACCTCTTATATTTTGGAGTCCATAGTTTTGTATTTGAAATATATATGAAAATTGGTTGAAAACTTAAAAAAATTCCTAACTAGCAATGGCAGTTATACGAGTTGATTTATTTCATATTAAAATAAACATGAATTAATAATTAATAATTCATATTTATTGTTAGTAGGTATGAGTTTCAGGAAGGAAAGTAAGAAAAGATTTTAAAGCTTTAAGTTTCAAACACATTAATGCAATTAACTTACCTGTTGAGTTTCATGTTCCCTTGGTCTTATCCATGGGAAAGAAGAATGTGGTGGGAGGAGACCAGGTAACCATAAAGTATTAAATGCTTTCCCAAATCCAAGTCTAGAATACTGATGGAGAGAAAAAAGTATACATGTATTTCACTATTATGAGATACAAACAAAAAGTAAAAGTGATCTTGGTTAGTGAAATAGATCAGTTGATTCTTCCAACAAAATTAAATTCTATTTTGGCTCAGATCACAAATCCCATAAACTTATTTGAGATTTAGCTTTTTAGGAATTTCTGTTTCGGGACATATAATAAAATTATTAGTGTAAGAAAGGATTTTGTTTTGCTTAATAAAAATTGTATATATGTATATATTAATTATATATATACATATATATTTGTTGCTTATTTTGTTGATGTTTTGAGACAGGATCTCATTACACTATATATCCCAGACTGGCCTTGAACTTGCAGTCTTTCTGCTTCAGCCTTCTAAGAACTGCTAATATTGTTTTTACTTTTCTCTGCCATCACATATTTTTCTTATTATTGTTTTTTTTTTTTTTTTGAGACAGGGTTCTGATTGTGTAGCTCAGGCTGGCCTGGAATTCACTAGCTCTCTTCCCACCTCAGCCTCCTAACTACTGGGATCACAGATATGAGCCCCCATGCTTGATCACCATATCTTATTTTGTTTTAGGCTATGTTAATGATTCATTTTTTTCTCTCAGTGTTTGACACATGCTTAGCCATTAATAAATGTTATAAATTACTGTGCTGCTGTGACTATAGCCACCAGTCATTACTATTTGTAATAAGAAATATTTGAAAATAATGTGTGCATGTAGACTTCTTTCATTCACTATAATTACCTGAGAAAGTGCATTTAATCCCTGCAAGCTTCCCAACTGTCTCATTGTCTGTAAAGAAAAATAATAAGTTAGTGTTTTTCACATATGTTGCCTGTCCTTTTGACACAACTGATTTCTCATGACATTTAACATTACCAATATAAAGTTTGGGGTGGGTCAACTTGAATAAAACAAAAGTAGACACAAGTTATCACTGAAAGAAGAAAATGTAAAATGTGGGTCTGGCATTGACATTGTCATTCTATTAAAATAATGAGCCTTCATTTACCATTAACTGAGTATTAGTTAGGTGTGTATTATATCAAAATACACTCATTCAATACTCATGAAACAGCTCATTCAAGCACAAGCACAGTAGTGAGGATATTGCTCTACCAACTCCTTTCCCTCTATTTAAATGATTTTATTTTTACAAATTCCAGTCTGAAAAGGAATTTGAAAAAACAGACAATGCAAATCATCTTTTTATCCCAAACAAAAAAATAATATTAAAAGCATTGTAAGGGGTAGCATCTGCATAGATTGTCAAGAATGCTGCCATTTCTATAGAAAGTCAGTTTCCCTTCCTTCCCTCCTTCCTTCCTTCCTTCCTTCCTTCCTTCCTTCCTTCCTTCCTTCCTTCTTTCCTTCTCCTCCCTCCCTCCCTCCCTCCTGCCTTCTCTTTTTTCATTTCTTTTCTTTCTCTTTTTCTGTCTCTCTGTATAGCCCAGGTTGGCTTTCTACTCATGATCCTCCTTCCTGCCTCAATCTTGCTGAGTGTTAAGATATAAAATATGATTAAGATGTATTGTATGGAACCCACAGAAATTCAATAAAAATATTTTAAAAAATGAACATTTATACTGATTGTCCTGAATTTTGGTTCTAGCTAATTGAATAAATGCTGAGAAATTAAAAAAATAATTAGGGGGCTGGAGGGATAGTTCAGCAGTTAAGAGCACTGACTACTCTTGCAGAGGACCTGGGTTCAATTCCCAGCACCCACATGGCAGCTAACAACCATTCATAACTCCAGTTTCAGGGGATCTGACATCCTCTTCAGACCACTGCAGGCATTGTACAACATGGGCGCACTTACATACATGCAGGCATAACACTCATACACATAAAATAAAAATAAATTAAAAAAAATACCCTGAGCTCCCCACACCTGCCATAGTTTTATTTATTTTTTGTCTTTTTGAGACAAGGTCTCCCTGTAGCCCCAGCTGTCCTGGAACTCACTATGTAGACCAGGCTGGCCTAGAACTCACAGAGATCTGCCTGCCTCTGCCTCCCAAGTGCTGGGACTAAAGGTGTGGGCCACCATGCCCAGCAGTTTTACCTTTTAAATGGAAAAGAATTGTGGTTCTTGTAATTGACTTTGCATTTGCAACTGAGAGAGGGCAAAAACCTCAGTGAAATTAGTCTCTATGTAAAATGAATGTCTGGTCCATATATGTACTGATTGCCTTCAGATGACATAATGAAACCTTGTGAAAATTTTGATATTTATAATCTCATAGATAAATTCTTATCAAATTTTTATTATAAAAATTCTATTTTACCATGGTTTTCTAGACAGAGTATATTATTTATGGGAACCAGAATAAGAAAAATGAAGGCTATACGAAAGGTATGATGGTACAATGCTAATACTATTTATAGTTAAATTTTGTGCATGTAAGTTTTTGTCATAACTTTATCATGTATGATATCAGTAGCAGGGCTAAATGTAAACCATTTTCAACTACAGAATGACATGTTTTAGCAAGTACAGTAATTAATGGCTATGTTATTAGTGTTGCTTTGATTCACACACAGTTGTTCTAAAAGTTAAAACATCTAAGAGTATAAAACTTAAGTAGAATTATGAGATAAAGTTATAAAGTCATTAACGTCTTTAGAATTTCTCAGAATGATGGTCAAAAATTTCTGGACTAGGAAAATTTGGAAACAAAATACCACCTCTCTATAATATGGAATTGTAATAATGCAGAGATTATATACATATTAAAAATACATACCTCAAGGCTCAAACTAGCCATGCCGGGAGGTGCCATGCCTGGCTGGCCAGGTTGTTGAGGAAATGCCTAAATGGGAATAAGAACAACCTTAAGTTCTCTTGCTCATAAACTTCTCTAAATGCTTCCCGGGAGTGGGAAGTCGCCTCAGAGCCTAGTGTCCACTGTAACTGAGAGACAACTATATTGGTTTATTTCTCAATGAATGAAGAAGAATTCAAGTAATCTGGAGGAGTTGTTTTAGTAATTTTGCTCCCACATCAATCTTTTTTTCTTTTCTTTCTTTCTTTTTCTTTTTTAAAAAAATCTTTTTGAGACAGCTGTAGCCCCAGCTGGCCTGGAACTTGCTATGTAGATCAGGCTGGTCTCGAACTCAGAGATTCACCAGCCTCTGCCTCCCAAGTGCTGGGACTAAAGGCATGCGCCACCATGCCCAGCTCCTACATCAATCTTTTGTGTGCATCTTAGTGCTATGTTTCTTTGGAAGTACGTTATTTTCTTAAAAAGTGATCACATAAAAAAAGTAAAACAAGACAAATATGAGCCAAATTTTTAAGTGCTTTCCACAAACCTTTAGGCTTTTGGTTCATGGAATATGGAATGAGCTCATGTTCTGGGAGGAGTCATGTGTAGACCCTAACTGGATTCATGTTCAAAAAGGCTTTTTCAAATTCTCAATGCTGCTATTTAAAGATTAAGTATAAGCTTGTTGATCAGTATTTAAAATTTTAATCACATGATGGTTATTTTCTAGTACTAAGCACTGTACAATACTAAATCTGTTCACTTAAATTTGTTAAAGCATAACTATATATACAACTACCTTTTAAAATGCAAAATATTTCCTTTTCTAAACATTTTAAAATATTTTCATGTGTTAATAAGTACAAATTCTAATGGTGGAAAATGGAGACTGGAAGAATATAATTAGAGAAAATTAGATTCTTTATAGTTTTTAATCCTCTATAAAAATTTAAAACAATATTTTGCCATTTAGCTCAGGCTAGCCTTGAACTTGCTATATATCCCAGGCTGGTCTCTAATTCACAGCCTTCCTGACTTCTCTTCTTGAGTGCTGGGACAATTTACTCCAGACCTAGGAGTAAATTGGATTTTGAGAATCTTTGGTTTCATAGATATTCTGATTTCCTGGTGTTGAGACTGTAATACTTTCCTTCTTACAATTATATCACAAGTATCTATCTCTATCATCTATCTATCTATCTATCTATCTATCTATCTATCTAAAATATCTGCCTATCTATCATCTGTCTATCTATCTATCTATCTCTATCTATGCATCTATCTATCTATCTATTCCATCTATCTATCCATCCCACAAGTATGGAATACTTGCTAAGTATATTGGAATTATCTTTCCTGTGGAAGTTAAGAAGTTCAGGAATTTCACCCTATACTATTTTGTTGTTGTTGTCATTTTAGTTTTTCAGACAGGATTTGAAACATTTTAAATATTGTTTGGGGTAGAAGAATTATGTGATTGCTTTTGGATGATAAGGCTGACATCTGAGCCACTGCGACTTTTGATTCACCAGGAGCTACACACTGAATTAAATCAAATGAGTCCTTGCATAGATGCTCAATTACAGTCCCCTCAGGGTAGCTTGTTAGACAGTCACCAGTCTGTCTAGGACCCCTAGAGACAGACTTACCGGCACTGCAAGACTCATTTTCAGGAGGCACAGGAAGAGGATCAGGTCCTTCATTTTGAAAAGTGGAATCTGAAACACAGTTGGGTTGAATAATTAAATCAGATAAAATTTCATTCTGAATGGTTAAAAGATAGTTCTAAAAATAAGTGTTAATTTCTGTTCTTCAAAAAACAGTTTTTTTTTAAAAAAAGAAATAATGAAATGTTTCTCTACAACTTGATTTGTAGCTAGTAGTTCCTGGGATGAATTGGTGGGCAATTAAAAATTGTATTTGAGCACTTTTTAATGAAGCTACAATTTAAATGAATAGTCAATCTCCATGAATATTCTTTAAATCTGCTCTTTGCTCGATAAAATGAAGTAAGAAATAAAAAAATTAGTGTATCAAGTGCAATTCACATAAGTTTATACTTTGCTTGAACTCTGGGATAAATTTTGAAATGCATTTGAAATACAACCAACAATTGTCTAACAAGGCAACCATGCCAAAACTTACCATTTTCAAGTTAAAGTAAGTTGAATATATTACTCCCTATTGATATTAGTGGGAAGTATGTCCCTAAATTTAGGTTTCCTCTTAAAATTTCCACTTTAAGTTTATCCTGTAAGTTCAAAAAACTCTTTACTCTTACATGAATATATATCTCATCAGCAAAGAGATGCACTCATCTAACACTTCTAAATTAGGCTCTGCCACTAATACACACACACACACACACACCACATTAGAAGATGTATACATATGTTTTTTTCTTAGCTAGATAGGAATTAGTTATCTTTTCTGGAACATGCTAATGATTACAATAAGTCATTACTCAGCATCTAGTGATACGTGAAGATAAATCCTCTTTATAAAGATTACCTAGAAACAGGGAAAGAGTTTACAAGAAACATGGAAATGATAAAATCACATTTTACCTTAGATGCTGACATTCACTGTACTCTCAGGGCCTGATGATGCCAATCAAAACAGTTCTAAAAAAGAAGATTAAATTTGTTTTCTGCACTGTGCCTGTATCTCTGTATCTCTCATTCCAGGAAGATCAGAAACCTTTATTTAAAGCACCAATCCACCAATCAAAGTGAAGCAAAATGGAGCAAGAAAAAAATCTGCTCCTGCAATTAGTCCACACCCTTTTATTGCATGCAAGGACATTGGACCCGTAGGGTCTCATTATTTTTAATTGTAACTCAGCCCCTGTATTTATTCAGAGAACTCAATTGCAGGGAAGACAGTGAAGGAATAATGGACATAGGCTTTGAAGACAATCATTTGGGTGAGCTTTGGGAAATATATGTAAAATAGGTGGAGAGCAAGCCATTGTATGTTTTGTGCAAGTGTTTATCTATAGGTAAAGCTTGTGACCTAGAAGGAACACTAAAATGCTTTCTGGGGTTGAAAGAAAAGATAAAAATGTTAACTAGATAATGAAAGTTTTGTGATTTTTTTTTCTTGATGACTATCCTAGGTATTTTCATATCTGAAAATAGTTGACTAAAGATAGCCGAATTTTTATAAGAAATTTCAGTTGGATCTTCTACAAGAGTCACTTTGGGTAAACCTTTGGTGAGTGTTCTTTGTGGGAAAGGGAAATAGTTTAGGCTATTCACCTAGAACCAAGCTAATCAACAACTCTGTCCTTGTTCTTTAGACAGACCATCTCTAGGCATCAGTATTAAGCCAGGTTGTTAGGTTTCTTTGGGTTGCTTAAAAGGTAAGCATTAACATGGATGGATAGTTTTTTTTTTCCATCAACAGATAGGAATGAGATGGATATGGATAGAATATGAGATTAAAATTTTTTTTCTCTGCTCCTCTTAGTTTCTCCAAAGGTATGATTTCACACATGGGATAAGTATTTAGGACTAGTTTCTAAAGAAAGGATGACTCAGTATACTCTTTAGGAAAGTAGAGATTTGTCAATTACAGGGAACACTGAGGAAGCTGGTATTTTTGGAGAAAGACATCTTCATACCCAAATGTAGCCCTAATGGCTTCAAATAATGTTGTTTAGGAAGCTGTCCTCAGTGCTGCTCCCAGAAGACATGGGTTATTAAATGAAAATCACATTTTCAGGCACAGGATTCCTTCCTATGAGTTATTGGTCAAGGAGGCCTGAGAGCTCTGCAAAACAACCCAGACTATTGTCATTGCCCTTGGCTGCCCATCACAACTATATGATAAGACCCTATTGCTGAAGTCACCACACATTTTCGTTACAGGACAGAGAGAAATCAGTCTCAATCTGATCAAGAATCTTCTTCCCTGCTGGCTAGCTTTCATAGTGCTGGAAGGTGCTATGCAGGCCAGTAGGGGAGAACAAACATCAGTGATCATACCCAGCACTGGACCCTGCCAGGCAAGTTGCAATAGTGGTATGACTGCTACAGGGCTATCAACTGCTTTATAATTAGATGTGAGACCAGTGTCACAGGAGGGAATGCATGCCTAGTTCTCTAAACTTGGTCAAAAACCCATGGCTTGGGAGGTCATATAGGCTCTAGAGGGGAGTGTAATATTGTTACTTTGATAAATGGTCATTGTCAAACTGCCTTCTAAATATTTATGTTTATAACTGTAGATCTGGACTGCTCTCAACCTTGAAGCTTTTTTTCCTGCAGCAGATAGTGGTTAACGCAGAATCTTATAACTGGTCAAAGTGCTGAGAATAAATGATTATGAGTGCTCAGCTCTAAATAGGACATCTATATCACATTCTCCCCCTTTCCCCACCAAGGCTCAGGGAATATCATGGAAGAGAGGGGTTAAAAGAATATAAGAGCCAGAGGTTGAGGGGGAGTGCTGTGAAATGATGTCTTCTGGACCTGACATGGCTATTGCACGCATGAACTCATAGCAGCTATGGTTACCTGCATAAGACTTGCACAAGATCAAATCAGTCAAAATTCCTCAGCATGGGTGGGGAAGGGCTCATAAAGCCCTAGCCACTCTGAGGAGCTATTGGCAGTTGTTGGGGGATGTCTATGCTGCAGTGGATGCCCTCATACCCACGTGCATATGAGAACCGCTAATTGGAGAGAGTGGGATATATATGTATACACACACACAGAAAATTATCTTTAGGATGTAAAGTAAATAATGTCAATGTGTTTTGTAAACAATAAAATAAAAGCACTATTATCTTTTTTTTTTCAAAAACAAGAATTTTCCATGTCTGTCTTTCTGTCTCTATAACACTTTCTCTGAACTTTGATACTTGATCAAGTCTCTTAATCTGAGTCTGATATTTTTCTCCATAATATATGGATAATAAATTAGTACCACAGGCTTGTTTTGAAGAGTCATTAAAATGATAAATGAAACATCTATTAAACAGTGGGTTCTCAATGAGTGGAGAAGATTGTTCTTTTTGTGGGAGAAATGCAGTGTACATGGGCCCAAGATCACTAGTTGTGTGTGTGTGTGTGTGTGTGTGTGTGCGTGTGTGTGTGTGTGTGTGTGTGTGCATGTCTAGTCTATTTCAGGGAAGGTGTGCTGTTAGCTCTGTGAGGTCCAAGGAATGTAGGAGGGACTGATAGAAGGCATTAAATCTGTGTGGAAGTTTATATTAATTCCAGAGGATTGATCTTCCCCCACTTGACTGCTAAACTGGGAGACGGTGTTTTGTCTTTTATATGTATATAAAATCATGATTACAAAACAGTGTTTTGGTAGTATTCATTTGTTCTTCTTTGTTCCTAAGCCAGATATCTAAGTTTATCACAGTTGCTGTTATTTCTATTTTCAAATGTACTTCATATTTCTTCCTGAATTTATTGTTTCCTGGGTGCTTACCTGGTTCCTATCTTTCTCCTTCATCATTCTGTCTACCAACATCAATATTTCCCAAAATGTTGGTTTCAGCATTTCATGGCCTCACTCAAAAACTTCTTAGGATTCCCAAGGCTATCATGTAAAGTTCACCCTCTGTAATTTGGCAGTTAACATTTCAATTCATCTTTTGAATCATACCCCCCACTTATATGAGACACTGAATTGATGTAATCATTTGGAATTTTTAAATATACTAGTATATTCTATGAAACATGTTTAATTAAAAAGAAATCGGAAATTAGTATGAGTTGAGTGTATGAATGACTTTCTGACAGTCATTGTAGCATTAAGACAGTTACTACAACTAACTGAAATAATTAATGATTATTATACAAGCTGTACTCATATGAAGAACAAGCAAATGGCCAATAAACAGCACAAAACATACTTATATCCCAGAGCATAACAAAAATAGAAAATAAATGCAACATGCCACAGAAAAAGTTTTAAAAAATATATAGGGCAAAGAGACCCCACAGAAGATATTAGCATACTGACTGAGAATATAATTGTTTGAATTTCCTCTAGGATAATCACTAACCACATGCCTCTGTTCTCCATGTGTGACACAGATTTTGATGTCTTTAAATCAGAGAAACTGTGATTACTTGTAGGAGACCCTCACAAGATTGGGCTCACTAACATTCCCCCATGGAGGGGCATCATGAGGTAGTGCATGAGGCTCAGGAGGCGTCTCACTTCCCTGAAGATACATACAGAGTTAACAACTGATAGGGGTCAAGGGTGAGACTCTTCTTTGGTGGTGTAGCTGCCCGTAAGCTACCCATACTTAGGGAATCCTGAGCAAACCCTCACTTAGTCTCCTGTAAGTTAACTCCATTGAAATTTCATGGGGGCTAGGGAGATGGCTTAATGGGTAAAGCACTTACTGCACAAACCTGAGTTCAAATCCCCAGAACCCATGTGAAGCTGAGTATGGTAGTGCACATGTGTAATCCAGTGCTTTTACACTGAGATAGGAGACAGAGACAGAAAAGTTCCTGTAAGCTCCTGGGCCAGTTAGCCTGACATACACAGGGGAAAACAACAAAGAGATCCTCTCTCAAGAACAAGGTGGGGGGCTGGAGATGTGGCTAAGTGGTTAAGAGCATGGACTGCTCGTGCAGAGGACCCAGGTTCAATTCCCAGCACTTCCATGGTGGCTAACAACTGTCCATAACTCCAGTTCCAGGGGATCTGACATCTTCTTCTGACTGCCTCAGGCCTTGAGCTTACATACATGCAGACATAACACTTATACACACAAAATAAATAATTTTAAAAAATTCAAAAAAAAGCAAGGTGGAAGGAAAGGACCAACATTAGAGGTTGCCCTTGGACCTCCACACAAGCTCCACGGCATGTGCATACTCTTATTCACATACAGCAATGCACACACACATATCTGCATGTGCATGTGTGTGCACAAAAACCTCTTAGGTTCACCGTGCCATATTTGGGTGAAATTACTTCTTCATATCATTGCTCTTTATCTGGAAGGAGTAGAAATAGATTTCCCAGGAAAGTCATGTAACAGCTACTCAATTAAATTTTGTTTTGACTGTGTAGCCCCAGCTACATAATCTTTATATATAGTAATATCACCTGCAAAATCCAGTCTAACATAGATCAGCAGTAATTATATTTAATCATATAAGTAAACATATAAGGGCATAGCCGGGTGTGGTGGTGCACGCCTTTAATCCTAGCACTCGGGAGGCAGAGGCAGGAGGATCTCTGTGAGTTCAAGGCCAGCCTGGTCTACATAGTGAGTTCCAGGACAGCTGGGGCTACAGAGAGACCCTGTCTCAAAAAGACATATATATATATATATATATACATGCTTATACTAACTAGTGTGCAGAAAATGTTTGGTGATCATAAATTTGCCTTAGTAAAATAAATTGTATGCTAAAATATGAATCATATTGAGCTTTTTTCACTTTGCTGATATTTAGTTGATACATAAAATTACACATATTTAATATAAAATCTCTTCCTGAACTTTTGCATACAATCATGACACCATCATTATCACCAAAGTATTAACATATCCAATACCTCCCAAAATTTCCTTCTGTTACTTTTTTGCAAGCTT